TAGCAGGTATCTTTTTACAAGTAATACTTGCCATGTCTGAAAATGTCTTTATTCTCATTTAGAATAATGATTAGGCAGGGTACAAATTTGAAATCAATTTCCCCCAATTTTATTGGCATTATTCATCATCTTCTAAACTGAAAAGTCTAATGCTATCCTGTTTTTAAATTTTGTAGTGTATGAACCGTTAGACTCTGGAAACTTCTAGAATTTCTCTTTGTCCTATATCTTGAGAAATTTTAGAATGGGATGTTTTCATCCCTTGAGTTGAGTACATTAAGGGCTAGTCTTTTAAATCTGTGAGTTTTTTTTGTTTAGTTGGTTTGGTTTTATCTTTCGCTCTTGTTTTTTTTAATTAATTGTATTGGTACACTTTTGACATATATAATGATCACAAAATCATAAGGAATTTGTACCTGTACATATTTTAATTCTTTTCTTCCCATTCCCCTCCCTTTTCTTCCATCCTTCCCCCTCCCTTTACAAAACTTGGTTTTTATTGTTTTCCTTCCACTCTTTTTTATCCCTATTCTCATCCTTTCCTTCCTCCTCCCCCCTCTTGTTCCCCTTCCCATTTGAACATTTTCCTCCTATTTCCCAGTACCTATCATCCATTTTAGTTCTTATTTACTCTTTGGGTTTCTCACACACACAAGAGGAACAATGCAACATTTAAACGTGTGTTTGATTTATTTCACTTAAAATTATGTTCTCAAGGCGCATCCATTTACCTAAAAATGTCTCAAGTTTATCCTTCTTTAGGATAGTTTAGTACTCCATTGTATATAAAACCCACATTTTCTTTATCCATTCATCCACTGATGGGCATCTGGGCTGTTTCCAAGATATAGCTATTACAAATTGTGTGGCTATAAACATGAATGTGCATATATCACTGTGATATGATGCTTTTAACTCTTTTGGGGAGATATCTAGAAGGGGAATAGCTAGGTCAAATGGAACTTATAGTTTTAGTTTTTTGAGGAATAACCATACCAATTTCCATATTGGTTGTACCAGTTTGCATTCCTACCAACAATGGAGAAGGGTTCCTTTTCCCCCAAGCCTCATCACCATTTGTTATTGGTTGATTTCTTGATGAGAGCCATTCTTTGTGTAGTGAGATGGAATCTCAGTGTTGTTTTAATTTGAATTTCTCAAATGACTAGTAATGTTGAATATTTTTTCATGTATTTTTTTGTTGTTTGTACATCTTCATCTGAGAAGTGTATATTCATTTCAGATGCCCATTTTTGGATTGGGTCTTTAAAATTGGAGCGGGGGGGGGTCTGGTTCTTTTTAAAAAATTCTTTATATATTCTAGATGATAGTTGCTTGTCTGATGAATAGCTGGTAAAAATTTTTTTCCATTCTGTGGGTTGTCTCTACACTCTGTTGGTGGTTTCTTTGGCTGTACAAAAGTTTTTAAATTTGATATGATCCCAGTTGTTGATTCTTTGTATTATTTACTGAGCCATTAGGGTTTTTTTATAAAGTCTTTGCCTACACCTATGTCTTCAAGAGTTTTCCCTATTCTATATTTCAGCAGATTAATTGTTTCTATTTTAATATTTAGATATTTGATCCATTTTGATTTTAGTTTAGTGCATGGTAAGAGAGATGGGTCTAGGTTTAATCTTCAGCATGTTGAAAGCCAGTTTTCCAAGAACCATTTATTAAAAAGGCTATCTTTCTTCTGGTGAAGATGTTTGGCTCCTTTGTCAAAGATAAGGTGGCTGTGTGTGTCAGGAGTTGTTTCTGCATCTTCTATTCTGTTCCATTAATCTTCAGGTTTTTTGTTTTTATGTTTGTTTGTTTTGCCAGTACCATGCTGTTTTTATCACTGTAGCTTTGTAGTGTAACTTCAAGTCAGGGATTGTTTTGCCCCCTGCCTTAGCTTTGTTGTCCAGAATTGCTTTTGCTATTCTAGGTCTCTTCTGGTTCCAAATTAACTTTAGGATTATTTTCTCTAGTTCTGTGAAGTATGCTCTTGGTATTTTGATCAGGATTGAATTATATATGTATAACAATCTTGGAAGTATGGTCATTTTCTCTATATTGGTTCTGCCTATCCAAGAACATGGGATATATTTCCATTTTCTGATGTTCTCTTCAGTTTCCTTTTTCAGAGTACTGTACTTTTCAATACAAAGGCCTTTTACTTCCTTTGTTAGATTGATTCCTAAGTATTCCATTTTTCTTGATTCTGTTGTGAAAGGTGTTATTTTCTTAATTTCTCTGTCAGTGAATTTGTTATTTGTGTACAAGAATGCTACTGATTTTTGAGTGTCGACTTTGTATCCTGCTATACTACTCAATTTGGTTATTAAATTATATTTGGTGGCATTGTGGGGGTCTTCTATGTGGAGTATCATGTCATCCACAAATAATGATGATTTAACTTCTTCCTTTCCTATCAATATTCTTTTTATTTCTTTCTCTTGTCTAATTGCTGTGGCTAATGTTTCCAGAACTATATTGAACAGGAGTGGTAATATTGAGCATCCTTGTCTTCTTCCTGATTGCTTTCAGTTTTTGACCATTTAGTATGACGTTGGGTGTTGGTTTGTCATAGATGACTTCTATCATATTGAGGTAAAGACCTTCAATTCCAATTTTTTGTAGGATTTTTTTCTTATCATGAATGGGTGTTGGACTTTGTCAAATACTTTTTCTGAATATATTGAGATGACCATGTGGTTTTTGTCCTTGGTTCTATTAATGTGATGTATTACATTTATTGATTTTTGTATGTTGAACCATCCCTGCATCCCTGGATGAATCCTACTTGATCATGGTGTATAATCTTCTTGATGATTTGCTGTATCTTATTGAGGTTTTTCACATCTATGTTCATTAGAGATTGGCCTGTAGTTCTCTTTTTTGGTTGAATCCTCCTCTGGTTTTGATATCAGGGTAATGTTTGCTTCCAGGAATGAATCTGGGAGTTTTGCTTCCCTTTCAATTTCATTAAAGAGTTTGAGGAGAAGTGGCATTAGAACTTCTCTGAAGTTCTTGTAGAATTCAGCAGTGAATCTGTCAGGACCAGGACTTTTCTTTGTTGGTAGTTTTTAAAATTACTTCTTCCATTTCATTGGCTGATACTGGGTTAGAGTTTTTATATCTTCTTGATTCAGCTTTGGTAATTCATATGTATCTAGGAATCTGCCCATTTCTTTTTAGTTTTCCATCTCATTAGAGTACAGGTTCTCAAAGTAGGTATTGTTGTTTTTTAAAACAGGGTCTCACTATATCATCCAGACTGGCCTTAAACTCACTATGTATCCCAGGCTGGCCTTGAACTCCGATTTAATGTCATTGTTTTATGTTTATATGTTTTTTATCGGTTAAAGTTCTTGCAGCTGCTTCAATAAAAATAATTTTTGAGTAAAAAAATCCCTCCAAACCTATTCTTATTATAACTATAACTTTTCTAATCAATATTTTACATTTGTGCCTTTTTTTTCGCTTGTTTTTCACTTTAGCCTGTGAGTTCTATTTGGTGGAACCCAGTTCTATAAATTCATCCCTGACCTCTTGTGAAATCCCAAAGCATTTCACAATTCCTTGTTCCCCTTATAGCTTTTGCCTACTGTCCACTTTCTTCTTAAACGTGCTTCTGTGACTTCACACCTTGCCAAGCATTGCTCTTGTTTCAGATTCTCCTTACCTTGAGGCATTTAGCCTGTGTATGATTTCCATAAACACATTCCTTTCTCTCTGTCTGGGCCCTCTCACCCTTTGTGCTAACAGTTGCCTCAGGAAACAAACAAACAGACAAAAAACCAACCACTTTACCCTGTGAAAGCCTCCTGTCTGAAGTCCGAAGTAGAAATTTCTTCAAATGTCATGTCCTTAAGGAGTATTTTGTGTGTGTTTGTGTGCATGTGTATCTTTTTTGTTTGTTTGTTTTGAGGCAGGATCTTACTATGTAGTTCAGGCTGGCCTTGAACTCACTAGGTAGCCTAGCCTGGACTCAAACTTGTAGCTATCCCGCTTCAGCCTCCCAAGTTCTCAGACTATGTGTGCCATCATGCCTGGGGCTTAAGGGCAAATTGTAAATTTTCAATCTCTTCAAAGCTAGTGTCACCTCATCCCCTGGGTTATAGACTGAGTAACTCATCCTTTTCTCTCTTCACTTCAGGCTCCAGTACTAAAATACTTTTGAGGGGAAGGAGCAAAAGGTTTTTTGTCTTGTTACTGATGTTTATGAATTAGCAAATGGTTTTCTAGCATCTCTTTCCTCTTCCTTATTCACCTACTTCCTTCTACATTTTTGAGAAAAATACCCTAGGGAAAGCGAATGGAGGAGGAAGCCAGTATATTGAGCTGTGCCACCTTTAGATCCAAACTGTTTTTTGAGACAGGATCTGGCTATGTAGTTCAGGGTGGCCTTGAACTCAGGAGATCCTCTTGCCTCAGCCTCCCCAGTGCACCACCACGCCTGGCTCAAATTTATTTTCAACTACACTTACAACTTATTTGAGATAATATAAACTTATAAACTTGTGACGAAATGAGCGTGTGTGTGTGTGTGTAGTGGGGAATAGGTTCTCACCAAAAGGGTGAGAGCCACTACGTCTTCGGGGGGAGAGGGGGGATGGAGTTGTGGGGTGTCAGACCTGCTCCATAAAACGTCAATACTAGGGGCCTGATCCTATGATTAGAGGAAAGCTGTGCTCAGCGCTAGAGAGCACAGCAGTCGCCAACTTTGTGACCCTGAGCAAGTCCAGGACCTTTGATTTTATTTTCTGTAACTTTAGAGTTGTTGAAAGATTAAATGAAATAACGTAAGTAAAAGTACTTTGAGAAACAACAGTGCTGGTTTGTTTGAACTGGCACAGCGCTCTGTTAGATTCCCACCCTAAGGTGCTATCTTCTCCTGCTCCCCTCCTTTTCCTCCCCTCCTCGCTCTCCTCCCTCCCAAACCGCGCGGAGGTCAACTGGAGGCCTTTGTGGTTTGTCTCCTTGGCAACCGCCCCGCTTCCCGGGCCCCGCCCCCCACGCGCCTGGAGGACCGGAAGCTTCTCCGACTCGGGCGCTTCCCAGGCCTTCTCCCCGCCTAGCTGCGCCAGTCCTTCCACGCTGGGAGGTGAGAGCAGAGGCCTTGCCGGGCCCACAGGCGGGCAGGAGCTGCCGTCACGAGTGGGGATGTGGGGCGGGGGGACCTCGGCGCAGCCCCTCCGTACCCTTCCACCCTGCAGCCCGGCTGTCGAACGTCGGCCCTGCCACCCGCCCGCCCGCCCGGTCCTTCCCGCGCCCCGGCCCCCTCCGAGTCCAGGAGCACCGAGTGCGGGAGCGGAGGGGCCGAGGAAGGGGTGGCCTGGGCCGGTCGGAGGCGGCCCACCAGAGCAGGAGTTTGCAAAGAACCCCGAATCCAGGGCTCTGGGGGAAGCCTCCGCTCCGGGGACCCAGCTCCTTGTAGGTCACCGCGTGCTGTTGGTGGATTGTTGGGTATGGAGCTTTTGTGGAGAGGCACAGCCCTCCCCTGGTGCTGAAGTGGCCTTGTGTTCCCGTGTCGAGTCTCGAGGCTGCTTCAGCTTTATAGTCCCTCACATGGCCTCAGAGGGCCTCTGATGACTCCAAAATCTTGCCGCCAACCTCGCGGGTCCCTTTCCTCATCCTCCGTTCCGGCCTGAGCTCATCCGGATGTGCTGCTGCAGGACCCCCTTTCCTCTGCCTGGGCCAGTGGGCAGGGGTCCCCTGGCGGGATTTCACCGCACCCTGGAGAGGTGCAGGCTGTGTGGATTCAGAGCCCAGCGCTGCCCCTTTGTCCTAGAACACAGAACCTACCATAGCTTGTCTGACAGGTTCCTCGTCTACAATATGGGGGATAACCTCCCAGGGCTTTTATGAGGCTATAAATGAGCTTTATTTATTAAGGTGTTTAGAACAGTGCTTGACATGAAGTAAATATGTGTCACTGTTAGGCTTTGCATTATACCACAACACTGTAAAGTTGCATGACTTATTTGGTGACAAACTTTACGAAGCCACAGGTTTTACTCAGGTCATTGCTATATCTTTAGTGCCTAGAAAAGCAACTTGGTGGAGTAGGGGGAAAAAATTGAATGGCAGGCTACATAAGGAGGGAAAATGGGGGCACACATAGGATTTTTAGTCATTGCTGAACTTGCACCAAATCAGAATCAGAATCACTGTCCAGCTTTTTAAATCTCATTAATTACTGCTGATACTTATACTAAGATGGTACAAAGAAAATGGTCTCCTTTCCCTTCTTGTTAGCAAATTAATACTTGCAGACATCATTGTAAACTGAGTCTTTTTTGCCATTTATTTGATAATACACAAGATAGAACTTACCACTCTCCTTTGACCCCCCATAAAACAGGCCTTAGCATATGCTTGAAGGAAATAATCTGAAAAGAGAAAAATAGTATATTCATGAAGGTGTGCCTCAGCATCATTTGTAGAAATGATAATTGCTTACAAGCAAAGTATTCTAAAAGAAATAGTTAAGTAAACAATATAGATATTACAAATGGGAATTAGAAGTGACTATGGAAAGTGAGAATACATTAAGATGAAGGAATATGCAATTGTTTTTCCTTTTGAATGGTTCCTTTAATGTAAAAATAACTATCTTAATAATTAGCAAAAGTCGAAGAACCTGCACAGAAGTCTTGTTCTCATGAGACTATTCCTCTGAGCTCTTTGCAGCAGACTAGGTAAAACTAATTGGCTCTTTGAACCTGCCCCAGAGCCAGCTTTTCTTAGGCTTCCCTTATGTCTGCTCTCTGGGAGTTCCTTTGTAATCCTGTCTATTATAATATTTAGTCTCATGGGCATAGATTTCAGAATAAATTGGGAATGCTTGTGAATTAATAAGTCTTAGTTCTTTGGTTCGCTTAGAGAAGTACTCTTTGAAACCATGGTTTATGTTAAGGTTAAGGTGAATACTTTCTGGACAGCCTTATGTTTTCATTTTAGTTGTTTTGTTCTAAGAAGCATTTGTCATTCATCTTGTTTCCACTTGTTTCTTTGGTCTCATTAAAGGAGTGTCCATAAGTAAAGCTTCACTGCCTTAAGGATTAAAGCCTCATTGTCCTGACCTATTGCCAGTCAAAATGTCTGCACAATTGAGAGAGTCTTCAACAAGCCTTCCACGAAGTCCAGAGGAGCCTGGCAGACTTCTGATTATGAAGATGGAAGAGAAAGAGCAGGCCTGTGATCCTGACTGCAATCTCCAATGGAGCAGCTGCTATAGCCCAGAGACCTGCCGCCAGCGGTTCAGGAAGTTTGGTTACTTGGACTCCACCGGGCCCCGGGAGGCTCTGAGCCAGCTCCAGGAACTTTGTCATCGCTGGCTGAGACCAGAGGTGCACACCAAGGAGCAGATGCTGGAGCTGTTGGTGTTGGAGCAGTTCCTGGCGATCCTGCCGGAGGAGCTGCAGGCCTGGGTGCAGAGGCACCGGCCAGAGAATGGAGAGGAAGCTGTGACTCTGCTGGAGGAGCTGGAAAGAGAGGTTGACCAGCCAGACGAAAAGGTAAGGAGACCTGTGGGAAGTAACCACAGCACATCATGGAGAGAGGGGCTATCAAATCGTTTTCCTGCTCAGCACAACTGGAGGCACAGGCTGGTGAATGTACTCTTGGGTGTCCCAGGAAATAGATCATGGCTCTGCTTTTCTCCTCCTTTTTTTCTGAGCCCAGGATGTTTTCCACATGCTTTCTTCTCTGTTATTTTATTCTCAAGTCCCTACCTGATGCCCTTCTTCAGTCTCATTTATACCTAACTGTTCCCAGGTCTTCTCTGGAAGAAGAAAGGACATGATGGTAGAGAAGCTGTCACCTTGGGAAATCACTTGGGAATTACCAAGTAGCCAACTCAAGCCCTTGAAAAAGCAGCTCCAGTGGGCATCGTGGGAGCTGCACTCCTTAAGACAACATGGTGAGGTGCAGGACTTAGCTTCTGATGGGAAGTGGAGAGGGCCCAGCACACCCCACACATCTTGGCTGCTTTAAGAGGTCTCAGATCTCTCTTCTGTCTCATCCTCATCTGTTTTATCCAAATGAAAACACGGCTCCTCTGTCTGAAGCAGGAGCCCGGCCTACAAGGCCTCCAGTTCAGCCTCTTTCCCACCTTTTTCCTTTTAGGCAGCCTCTGAGGTCCTTCTGTGGGACCCCAAGGTACACAGCCAAGAGACCACTATCTGCCTATCATTTCCTATGTATCTGCTTGTCCAGTTATCTTGGCATCCAGGAGCAAAACTGCCCATACTGCTAAGATGACTTTGGTCTGTCAGGGTGCTTTGAGAACATGTCTCCCTCGTCCTAAACTGGCTTCTGTTGCTCTGCGTCAGATTTTTATAGAAGTGCTCCAGAATGGCTGGCACAGCAATCTGTCTGTGCATTGCAGGTACAAAAAAAAAAAAAAAAAAAGTGGGGAAACGAGCAGATGGATAGCGTGGGGGACAGGGTCTTATTCAGAAGTGACAGCATTTGAGCAGAGACCCTCCTTCTAGATGATCATCCTGGATAAAATGAGAGCCAGAGATCAAGAGGGAAACCTCATTTGGAAACCACCACCACCATGTACACATAGCTTCTCTATTCCAGGGCTGGCATATGAGCTAAGCAAGGTTAGAAAATACAGAAATCTAAAGAGATGTTTAGAAAAGATTCTAACTTTTACATGGCAAGTGCCTGCTCCCACAGGCTTGTACTAAGCACTCAACACCTCCAGTCTAGAAATAATTTTGCTTAACCATTAGAAGTAGGAGGGATGGAGGGGAAGGGGGAAAAAAGAATTAAGATATATTATGTACCTGTACCAGTTCCCCACAACGAATGTAATCATTATGTACTGCAAACATGTGCTAATGAAAACTTAAAACTTTTTTTTTTTTTTTTTGGTGCCAGGGATCGAACTCGGGTCCTTGTGCTTGCACAGCAGGCGGCAAAACCACTGAGCTAAATCCCCGGCCTTAAAACTTTTTAAAAAGAAGAGGGAGGGATACCATCCCAGCCTCACCCTTTTAGAAGCCATGAGTCTCAAAGCTAGGCCATAGGCTCCTGGTGTCAGCGAAGCCATGTTCTACTTGTAAAGGTTCCCCCAGAGAAATTTCCTACATTTAAAAATATGCATGAAAATTTGAAGGAGAAAGCCAAAGATTCCAGGATTTTTCTAAATTTTTTTTTTTTTGCTGTATCAGGGATCGAACTCAGAACCTTGAGCTTCTGAGGCACGTGAGGCACCACTGAACTAAATCCCCGCCCTTCCAGGCTTTTTCAATATAAAGTAGACAGAACTAGTGTCTCACTACTGTGTAAGGACCATTTTGTAAGGCTACAACATGATTTCTGTAGTTCTGTGTCATCTCTTACCAAGGCTTCTACAGATGACCCTCTTGGTCTCAGCACTAGGAAGTGCCAACTATTGTCATGATTTTGATAGTAGCGACTGAATATTGATGTCACTTTGGATGCTGAGCTATCAAAACCAAAATATTTATCATTTGTAAAATGACTTCTGTTTAAACCAGCAATAGTTAATAAGTGAATATGCTATAATTATGAACAAATTCAAGAATTTTAATTCATTTTGTACTAACTATATTCAGAGCCATTTTAAATTAAATTCTAAGAATTAAAAAAAAATAACTCATAGCGCTCTTAGCCAGTGTCACTCAGTCACTGACATCTTTTCTCTCCCAACCTACTTTTCTCATGTTAACCTTTTGATTGGGCCTTAAGAGGACCCATAGAATCACCATCAGTCTCTCTCTTATTTCCTCAGCCCCATTTATGTAATCCTTACAGATAAAGGAGCCCCTGTTCAGCTGTCATGGTCAGCTCCAAAATGATGCTTCTTGCAGGGTGATTTTAAACTGCTGCCTTTTAGCAACTTCCATTAAAATCTACCTGAGGATCACTGAAGCAGTCTCTTCGGTACATACTTAAAATTAAGTGCCATATCCACATGTGAGTTAACAGTTCGCCTACAGCTTTAGGTGGTCTATGTCACAAACCCTCTATACTCAGCTAGATTTAAGTGACCACAGCCCATAAGCAGCCATGCTCATTTTTTCATAGACTTTAAAGGCAGTATAAAACAATACAGGAAACTTAGCCACTTAGCCAGTGTTATAATTTATATACAGGAGGAGAGGTTTCTGGTAAATGGGTATTCTGCACTACACTTGACCTTTTGAGGTGCCACTGTTCTAGTTTATAATCCTCCCTTTTTGCCTAAATTGTATTTTCTTATATATTTATTTATTTATTAGTAAGGGCATCGAACTCAGGACCTTGCGCCTGCAAGGCAGGTGTGCTGTTGAGCTACATCCCTGGCCCCTAAATTGTATTTTCTAACTGCATTTTCCATATTCCTTTTTTGACCTGTTGACTTTCTTCAGCTCATTTGCTTATTTATTGATTCATTTATCATTATTAAGCTTTGTTTTGTTTATGAACACTCTCGTGTTAGATTTTGTTCATTACTCATATTTGATTCCTCTCCTTCCAGTTGCTATCTGTTCCCCAAATAGTTGCTCATCTTTTAAGCCCTTTTCGTGTCTTCCAGACTTTCTCTGGTCTCTGACATGTCTGTTTTCCCCTTACTCACCATTCAGCTTTTTCAGTGGAGCTTTGCACCTTTATAGTTGGCTGTCCCTTCAGTATGTAAACACTTCTCTTTGCCTCATGATCTTCTCAACATTTTTTCTTACGTTCTTCATCCTCCACATTATGATGTTATTTTATACACATGTGGCTAATAATCCATCGACATATTTGGGTCATTCTAGTTCCCTTTCTTTCTGAACAGAGAACTGGTGATACTGTTTTTCTGTTTATTATTTCAGAGGAAGACACCAAACCTGTAAATGTGAAATCTGCTTCGAAGCCAAAGACCTCCTCAGGCACAGAACTTCATTGTGATGTTTCTAACACCCTTCATATGAGTGCCCCCCAGAATTTTACATCTCAAGGAACCTGGGAACAAGATGGCAAGTTTCCAAGAAGACAGAGAAACCCTTCTGGAAAAAAGCAACACAAGTGTGAACAATGCGGCAAAATCTTTAGTCAGAGCTCAGCCCTTCTTTTACATCAGAGAATTCACAGTGGAGAAAAGCCTTATGCATGTGATAAGTGTGCAAAGGCTTTCAGCCGAAGTGCAATTCTGATTCAACATCAAAGAACCCATACTGGAGAAAAACCCTTTAAGTGTCATGAATGTGGCAAAGCCTTTAGTCAAAGTTCAAATCTTTTCAGACATAGGAAAAGACACATTAGAGAAAAAGTCCCATCAGTGTCATGAGGGAACCAAAACATTTATTTTGAGCTCTTGCAGAACAAGAGAAGACACAAGGCACAAACACTCCTTTAGTATAAGTCCGTTTTAGTGGACACCAGTTTCCTTTCATGGGTCATAAAAGCCACCAGAGAGAAGGAAGAGTATCTCATGTCAGCACTATTTGCTTTTCTGCTTATTGTCAATTCAGATGTTTGAGATTCCAAAGCTTAATTTATATTTCTATCCCTAAGCAGCCTTTGAAAAGCCATTCTCAGATGTTTTCTACTATTCCCATTATTAACTTAAATAATGAACTAGTCTACTCATGACTTTTTAAAACAAGTATATATCTTCCCAATTGAGAAAAATGTGTTACTCAGTATAATAGATATTTTTCTCTGTTTCATAATTTGAGCAATAGAATTTTAAGGACTAGGGCCGGGATTTAGCTCAGTGGTTCTGGCGTCTGCCTTGCAAGCGCAAGGTCCTGAGTTCGATCCCCAGTATGAAAAAAAAAAGAATTTTAAGGACTAAAGATTAAACCATTCTTTAAAATTTTTTCTATTTTATCTTTGGTTACCAGATTCACAATATGACAGTAGTATAGAGGGGGCCCAAAAGAATTTGTATCTGATAAACTAAGCTGAAATGTTTAAGGTCATTGTTAGGTAGGTAAATAAATTAGTATCTTATGAAAGCTCTACACAATGCTGATGATACTAAGTAATTTCCTGTGCTGGAAGAAATAGTCTTTTTTTATAATTAATTAATAATTGAATGAAAGCATTAAAATGATTGTCTAAAAGGAATGATGTAAATTTAAAGAATGTTTCCATAATAAGTAGAGCTATTCTGGGGTGCTTGTATAAGGGTGATGATGAAAAGAAGGAGATGAGGAACAAGACTGTCCAAGACTACAAGGCTGATGTAGCATAAATGTTGGCAAGCGCAGTAATGAGAAGTGTACCACAGCTTACCTGGGAAAGCAAGTCCCTAACAGCTGGAGACTATTCTTCGTTTTCTTTTTATCTACTTTTCTGGCATAAATCAGCTGTAAGTATGTTTTAGGCGCCAAAGACAGCCTTTTCAGGGATAGTAAGATAAGTCATGAAATGAGACTCTGGAGTTTGATACTTTTGTACAAATGAAAAAAAATCACTAAAGATTAAAGTCCACCATAGTCTCTTATAAACAATTGTTCAACAACTTTTCCAGTTCATAAGTTTTAAGACAACGTTTTTAGAATATCATCTACAGGATGTAAGTAGCTAGTTGTATCCATATTCAAATTCCTCACTTAAAATGACAGTCTCATATATTGTTAAAATTAGTCTGACAATATATAACAAAATGTTCTCTTTTCTAGGGATTCTTGATAAAAATGTTAACACATGTGTCACAATTTTAGTATATGTGCTGCCAAAGCAAGCACAACACTTGTCACAAGGATACATATACTGTTTTGTTTTTCATGGAGGTACAGTTAGCCACGATGGAAGCTGACCTCAGAAGTGAAAGTCCTTGAAAAAGGAAGAGGCTTCTAGGCATGTCTGGTGGGTTCCTGATAAAGTAAAATATTTCATTTTCAGAAAATCCAGCCACATCTAGTGCTCAAAGTAACTCCGGAAATGAATGTGGAATTGTTGTGCTCTGCTTAGTACACTGATAAATGTAAGAGTAATAATGAGAGACCAGTAAAATGCAAATTTTGTTATACATTATTTCTAATTGTGCTTTGTAGCTCTACTCTATATACTGGGTTTTGTGTATTATCAGTTATTTTAAATGTAGGTATATTTTTATTGGGTTCATTCTCTTTGTAATTAAAGAGAAGGCCAAGTCATCTGTTGAAGCAACAAATGCCTTGGATAAATGTACTGTGAATTACTGTTTACATTTGGGAGTTTTTTTAGGCTCTATGTGAATAAGAAGGAAGATTCTAAATCAAGTCTTCTTATTTGTCTTCAGTTGGTAAAACCATAGATTTTATAGGATTATGTACTCTTTATTGTGAATAATCTGAACTTCATCACCAAAGAGTGGTGTGAATCATATCATCTAAGTATATGATGAGTCACAAAGGATGTTACTGGGTACTCTGAGATATTTTGCACTTGCATGGGTCTCCTAATGAGTAGATGGCACTCATTTATCTAAAATGAGAATTACTACGATTTGATCTAAGCTTGATAAAAATTAGCACGATAGGGCTGGGGATTTAGCTCAGTGGTTTCGCCACCTGCTATGCAAGCACAAAGACCCAAGTTCGATCCCCAGTACCAAAAAAAAATTAGTACGATAATACCACTCCCATTAGATTAATTAATTTCCAGGAATAGTGAATACTCTAAAATGAAACTGATATTGTTATATAAATGCCACTTCATCTGGGTCTTAAATATTACCAATGATCCTGTCTTCTCTCTTTATCTCTCTCCTGTTGTCTTCAAAGACTAAGTCAGATATTCATCACTGTCCTCAACCTTCCCGAATTAGTTTGGAATGCTTCTAGATGCAAAATCCATCTTTGGTGGTTTAAACAGGAGTTTATAACCTGAAAACTGGAGAGTGGGTTGCTGCTGGCACTCAATTAGCAGCTGGATAGTGACTGGTCTGGCTCATGTCTCTGCCCCTCTTTTAATATTTCCCTCATGCTTATTTCTCAGGTTTTTGAGAGAACTGTCCCAGCTCCAGGAACTACATCTAGAGTCAAATCAGGAAGAAAGGGAAAGGTGTTGGCCATGAGGAAAAAAAGCTTTTCAAGAAATCCCAGCAAATTCTCTTTGTATTCCTTGTTGCAAGTTTTTTGGGGCCATGGAGGGAAAGGAGCTGAGTTGAGGGACACCGAAACTGATGTTGCTGGGTCAGACAATGGTGTTGGCTGTCCTGCTCCATTGACAGCTTATTTTATGGGAAGATGACTGTGTTTGTCTCCTGCTTTACAGAGAAAAAGATGAGAATTCTTACAACTTCCTACCACCAAATTTGCCAACCTGTTTATACCTCATCCATCATTTCCTGTCCTCCTCCTCTCAGAATGCTAGATGGGTCTCTCCTCTCTGACCCTTACCATTGTTTCCCACCTCTGAAGGGCTTTGGCTTCTAGCATTCTCTCTTTTACTTCATCTTCTGCCTTCCTTCAGGATCTGTCCATTTGACATTTAAACGTGCTGTTGTGACCCACCCTCCAACCCTAAGCTTTTCTAAAATATATTTGCAAAGTCAAGATGGTGACAAAACTGAGTGAGGAGAAGCATAATCCCCTAACTTTGTCCTCTTCATATGCATTTATTTCCTTCTACCAGAACAGTCTTTCTAAAGCACAGAATGCACCATGGCATTTCTTGCTTAAGATGTAGACTTCCCATTGCTTTTAGGATAGAGTCAGAACTTCTAAACACAGTTTTTGAGGCTCTTCATGATCTGAATACATCTTACTACTTAAGCTTTATCTCTCTTTTTTTTGTGTGTGTACCGGAGATCGAACTCGGGTCCTTGTGCTTGCGCAGGAGGCAGCGAAACCACTGAGCTAAATCCCTGGCAAGCTTTATCTCTTATCATTGGCCTCCTTTTGGCTGAAGCAATGTCGAATTATCAGAAGCCTTTCTCCTGCCTCTGGGTCTTTACGTGTGTTCCTTTTGAACTCTTGGCAGCTTTTACATGTCATTTCATTCCTTTGTATTCTTCAGGTTTAGTTTACGTGCTACTTCTTCCAAGAAGCCTTCCCTAGCAGCCCAAGAATAGGTTGAGGTGTACCATCGCATCTGCTGTGGATTCCATAGCAGTCTATTCTTAATCCCTAGCTTTACATTTATCACATGAAAAGAAAATGTTTTTAAAATATTAAACTGAAAATATGCCCCCATGGAAGACAAAGAGAATGAATGAGATCTTGGGACAGAAGTTATGAGGCAGCAGCAGTAGCAAAAAAAAAGGTTTAATGCCCAGTCCTGAGAATGGTAAGACAATAAGAGGGTCAGGCACAGGGTGTCCTTTCATCTCTGTACCCCAAGCCCTGGAAAAATTGTTAGTGGGGGAATCTGAAAGCAGTGAGAACTGTGCCTATTTGTCACTCAGTGCTTTGGGTTGAACAAATTCTGAACAGCCAGCCTGTGCTCCAACACTGGACTCCTGTAACAATGGCAACAGTGTCAGGCAAAAAGTTCCTACCAGTTAACACGTGGCTTGAAGATTATAGCAGTTCTTTATGCCCAGTGGAGACCTTAGAAATTAGCCAACTGGATGGCTGGAGAGTTCGGATAGTTGTGCAGAGTAACAGTGTTGATCCTGTACCTATGAGCTAGCCAGGATAGGCTGTAAGTTTCAGTCAGAATTTAGAGGGGATCCATAGGTCTCCCTAGAACAGAGGCAGAGGCAAATCACCAAGGAAGAATTCTGGCCCCCAGCTCAGCCAGAAGAACCGATCATTTGTTGCTGTGTGCTGGTGAGCAAGCACCAGAGCAGAGCAGACCAGCTGACCAGAACTGAGACTAGAGAAGAGCAGGAGGTCAGCAAGCCCATCTGAGACCCAATCCATCCATACTGGTAAGGAAGCCCCCAGGGAGCCAGAAATTATTATGGCTATTTCCAAGATGATGAGATCAAGTTTGATCCCTTAAACTTGTACATGAACTTGAGCTGCCTTTAAACTACACATGCATGGAGCTGACCCGAAACAGTAGTTCACAGGCACTGAGGACTGAGCCACAGGGTAGACTACTGCATAGGCCCCAGGGAGGCCACTGGGTGGCACACACAAAGGACAGACCTAAATAAATACACTGGAAAAGTTTGAGAATCTATTTGACAGTGGAAGCTGAGCTCACATAATGCAGGTCAGAACTTGTGGCCTGACTAGGGCAATTGCCTCATGAAACAAACATAAAAATCAACAAATTGGGGCCGGAGATTTAGCTCAGTGGTTCCACTGCCTGCCCCGCAAGCGCAAGGGCCTAAGTTCTATCCCCAGTACCAAAAAAAAAAAAAAATCAACAAATTAATACTATCAGGATTTAAGTAATACCTAAAACTCTGATAACATTCAAAATGTGCATGACACAATGCAAAATTACTAGGCATAGGAAGAACTAGGAATATCTCAGTTTCTAAGGAAAAAGGTAAACCTACCTATGTCAATTCCTAGATAACACAGCTGTTAGAATTAATTAAAAATATATCAAATTAGGTTTTATAACCATGCTTATGAAATAAAGGTGAATAAATGCAAAGTCACATATCAGGAAAGAATATAAAGAAGAACCAAATGGAAATTGTAGATTTGAAAAATATAACTAAAATTATTGACTAGATGGGCTCAAAGGAAGAATGGAGATGACAGAAGAAATGGTGGTACATCCAATCTAAACAACAAAGAGAATAGAAAATTGAAAAACAAGAACATACAGGATAAAACACTGAGAACAAGTGGGCTTTATTCCAGAACTATAAGGTGCGCTCAATATTTAAAAATATATCAAAGTAATTCACAATATTAATAGTCTCAAAAGAAAAAATACCACATGGTTGTATCCACTGAAAGGTACTGACAAAATCAGCAATTCATTTATGATAAGAATAGAAGGGAACTTTCCTAAAAAGGACTGCTACTAAAAAACTAGAATTAATATAAGTATGAAATCCTGAATACTTTTCCCCCTAAGATTGAAAACAAATTAAGAATGTTCACTCTTCACTCCTATTCAGTCTTGATTTGGAAATCCTATAGAGATTGGAAATTAAAAAATAAATTTCCATAATTTGCAGATAATGTGATTATCTATATAGGAAAGAGCACTGAGTCTATTTTTAAGAAAAGCTCCTACTAATAGTAATAATGGAGTTTAGCTTGGTGTTTGCAGAATACAAAGTTGTCTTACTCAGTGCAGGCTGCTATAACAAAAACACCACAAGCTGGGTGCCTTAAATGACAGAATTTTATTCTTTACAGTTCTGAAGTTTGGAAAGTTCAAGATCAAGATGCCAGCTAACTCAGTAGCTGATGAGGGCCCGCTTCCTGATTTGCAGAGAGATGCCTTCTTGGTGTATCTGAGGTAGGGAGGGGGATATCTATCTTGTGTATAGTCTCATAAGAGTTCTATGTTAGTTTACCATTGCTGTGACAAAATACCTGAGGGGAAAAACAGCTTAAAGGAGAAAATTATTTTGGTTCATAGTTTCAGAGGTTTTTATCCCTTAGTCATTTGTCTCTATTGCTTCTGGGCTTACGGTGAGGCAGAATATCATGGCAGGGAGCATATGGCAAAGCAAAGCTGTTTGCCTAACAGCAGACAGGAAGTGGAGAGAATGAGTAAGGAAGAGGCCAAGGACCAGATACACCCAGAACATGTTCCAGGGACCTACATCCTCCAAGTTGGCATGCCAATTATTTTTAAGCTGATGAATAGATTTAACACAATTCTAATATAAATTCCAGCCAGGTATTTTTTTGTAGGTATAGGTATGTTGATTCTAAAAGTTATATGGAATACTAAGTGAACTAGGATAGCTAAAAGATTTTTTAAAAAAATAAAGTTGTACGATACACACTACTACATTTTAAACAACTATCATAAAGCTATAATAATCAGGGTGTGATTTAGCAAAGAGATAGACACATATATCAATACTGCAACAGATAGGAGACTTCAGAAATAGACCTACACAAAAAATGGCTTTTTTAAAACTGGGGGTTGAACTCAGAGGCTCTCTACCATTGAACTTCATCCTTAGCCTTTTTTTCAAATTTTGAGATAAGGTCTCCCTAAGTTGCTCAAGCTATCCTTGAACTTGTGATCCTCCTGCCTTCGCCTTCCAAGTAGCTGGGACTAAAAACATATGCTACCATGCCTGGCTTCTAATTTATTGTTTATAAAGATGCAAATGTAATTCAATGGATACAGAATAAACTTTTGATCAAACAGAACAATTGGATATCTCTATGAATAAAATTTCTTAACCTATAATTGATGATTTACAACAAAATTAATGAAAAATAAACTATATATCTAATATAAAGTGTAAAACTATAAAACTTCTGGAAGAAACCAAGAGTATATTCATGGCCTTGTGTTATTTTTAGATATGACACCAAAAGCACTAAAGAAAAAAATAGTTATCAAAATTAAAAGGTTTTAATCTGTGAAACACACTAGTAAGAGAATATAATACAAACTGTAAACTGAGAGAAATATTTTCAAATCACAAATTACCGGGCCAGGGATTTAGCTCAGTGGTTCCACTGCCTGCTCTGCAAGCACAAGGACCTGAGTTCAATCTCCGGTACCAAAAACAAACAAACAAATCACAAATTACCTGGTAGTGTAGCTACTCTGGTAAAGGGTTTCACAGTTTCCTCTAGAAATAAACATATACTTACCATATGATCCAGTAATTCCATTTCTAGATGTTTACTCTAGAAAGATAAAAACATTTTATATAAAAACGTGTCCATACATATTTATAGTAGCTCTATTCATAATTCATCAAATTCAGAAACAAACTAAAAGTTCTTCTGTGGTTGAATATGATAGAGCTCTCTGCTAAATAAAATGGCCCCAACAACCCCACATCCTAAAATGGGCCCTGCCTACAGGGAACAAGTCACTCCAAGAGAGAACAAAGACCTGCTTTTCCCCATCTCACCCCCACTTGTAGCCAGCCATCTGCCTCCAGCACACTCCCCCCAGCCTTTATAAACCTCACTCACCCAGCCCCTGGCTGCTGCTCTCGCCATTGTTCAAGACAGCCCGGCAGCTCTGTTCCTTAATAAAAGCCCTGCTTTGGGTGTTGGTGTTTCAGCTCATTTTATTTCTCTCAGAATGGATAAACAACTTTGAGACACACAAGTAGAATCCTACTCAGCAATAAAATGGAATGAAATATTGAAATATTGGAATTGAAATAACGCAATAAAATATTGATATGACTCTCAAAGGCATTGTGTTGAATGAAAGAAACTAGCCTGAAGAGGATACATACTTTTGAATAAAACCTGTCTGTGAAGCTCAGTGGAAATGCCTCTCGGAAAAAAGTTTTAAAAAGAGGATACCTACTTTGTGGTTCCATTTCTATAACATTCTGGACAAATCAGAACTGTTGTACTTAGTAACAAATTAATGGGTTCCATTGGTTAAGAATGTAAGAAAGGTATGAGTACACCTTTATGAAGTTCTAAGAAGTGATGAAACTATTGTGTATCTTGGTTTTGGTGATATTTCACAAATCTATGTGTTAAAATTCATAGGACCTTATGCCAAAAAAGCTAAATGTATTGTATGTTAATTTTTTTAAAGCACAAAATTCTACACAACAAATGAAGCCAAAATTCCATTCTTTGAAAGATTAATAGAATCGATAAATCTCAAGCAAACCTGATCAAGAAAAAGAAACCAGACATTACCAGTTTTGAGAATGAAAGAGAAGACATCACTAAAGTTCCTATAGACATTAAAAAATTTTAAGGAAATATTCTAAACAACTTTATATCAACAGATTTATAGACAACCTAAATAGGTTTTGTTTGTTTTTAAGACAGGACTATTTCTGCTCACATCTCATGTTGAGAACAAAATCCTGGTCATGGATGTCTTAGGTCAATCACAGTTATTTCCTTATGACCAGGCACATCGTTCCCCTCCTTGACAAATACAAAAAACTCAGGGTGTGTTAGAAGTAAGGGGGAGGGGCTTTATTCAGGAAGTTAATAATACCTCCCATGGTTAGGTTTTCAATCACTTATAATCCAAAGACTCCTGGTACAGTGCACATATTAGCTAAAATGGAATTTTTAAACCAGTGTAAAGTGCCCAGGGGGAGAGCTCCAAAATAATGGTTAGAGAAAAACCTAGGAAAGATCTTTCTTGGGTGATAGGTGATAATGCCAAATCTGAAGGTCTGCGCTTTCCTTCCAATGGTAAAACTTTTCTTACTTTGCTTCTTTCATCTCAGGATGCCTGTCTTCCCTCTTAGCACCTCATGTCAAGTGCCCCAGGTGGTATTCTGTTCTCTATTATAGTGTTTCTAAACTTACTTCTTGTAAATATTTAATTTCTTGTCTATTTCCTTAATAAGAAGGTAATGCCAAAAGAAAGAAGCATAACAATTTTATTTATTTTGAATTGTCTACCACCCAGGTAGTACCTGTCCATTTTTTGTTTGTTTATTTTACCATTAATGAATGAGATGCTTTGTATCAAGACAAGGAAAGGAAAAAAATATTTACCTGATAAAGAAATCAGCTCCTGGGCCCGGGATTTAGCTCAGTGGTTCCGCCACCTGCCTTGCAAACGCAAGGTCCCAAGTTTGATCCCTGGTACCAAAAAAAAAGGGAAAGTGCAAGCAAAAGTAGCCAACTTCCCCAGAGCTTTTTTCACACAAATCTAGATTTTGACACCAAAACAACAGGGGACAGATGACTGCAAAATGAGTTGTGGGACACCTTGTTGCTACAGCTAAGCTTAGCAGGTGAAGTAGACTCATTAGAATCCAGAAAATAATGAGAAAAGGCCTCATGACAGTCCCCTTGACAGCTGGAAGAGACATCTAGTAGCTACTTACCAGCCTCCCATGCTCCCATGTTCCAAGAACACCACCAGGTGTTCTGCCAAGATTTAGCTCAGCTTGCCTGGGTGGCCTAGGTGGATATGTGCAATGTTGTCAGCACTGGTGCAGTTGTTCCCCACACACAGGCTGCCCAGAGGAAGATGATACTCTGTTTTGACTGGATCTTTAAGAAGGTAACAAGAGTGACATTTAGGAAAAGGTCCACATAGTGGGGCTCAGGATGGTATTTCAAAGTGGGGGTTGTTGGTCCTTGCCTTCTAAAGAATAACTTAGGAAAAACTCATTGTGGTTTGCATTTACTATTATAAAAAAAACTAGGAATCACAGGCAAGGGATTCTGTAAAATTTTGCAACATTTTCAGCTCCCTCAAGTTTTTTTATGTTTATTATTTTTGTTTTCCAACACTAATTAGCTGAAAAACCCTTAGTAAGAAGCTGGGGATGTACCTTACTGGTAGAACACTTGCCTAGCATACATGAGGCCTGGGTTGGACCTATAGTGCTGAAAAAACCCTCACCTTTGGGAGGGAAAGGTTGGGAAGAGCAGCCAAGTTGGCGCTGGCAATAGCCAGGTAGGAGAGTGAAAAGGCTAGATTTCTGCAGTCTCCTCCAATGAAGAAAGAAAAGCATCAGCAAAGGTTATTCGAAGACCAGATCTGGTTGTAGTGAAAAGTAGTGCTACACCATGAGCTGCTCACTCACTTGCATTCTCATTAATGCAACAGAGGCTGAAGGCATTTTGCAGAGGACACTTTCCTGAATGAGACTAGGAGCTGAATGTTGAGAAACTTGAAATGCTTCTGGAAGGCTGGACTTACACTACTGAGTACAAGGCCTTACACAAGGCTCTTTTGTGCACACATCCTTTCTGATGCTTGTCATGTGACTTAGCAAAGACAGCAATGTGATCAGCCCACAATTAATTTACTTATTCAACATAAATTTACTGTGTTCTATATGTACCAGGCAGTCAGCATCCTGGGACTACCTGGGGATGCTGTGGTGAACAAGACAGACAAGGTCCCTATCCTTATGGGACTTACAGACAAAACAAGTAAATAAATAAATGAGATCTCTTCTAATACTGCTGTAAAGGGTGCGTAGGCTTCCAAGAAGAAAGGTCAGCAGAGACTGAAGGTGTTGGGCCACGATGTGCCTAATAGCCATGATTAGAGAAGGGGACCTTGGAGGTCAATGTAAGGAATTTTTGTCATACATAAGGTAGCTGGGATCCATTGGAGGCCTTCAGTTATAGAAATGAAATGGTCTGATTTACATTTTTAAATGACTATGCCTGCAGCAACTTTATGGTCTAAAAAGCCCAGCCTGAAGTTAGATGACTACGCACTCTGAAAATTCAGTTAGATCTGTACGAAAACTCTTTTAACACGTCTCATCTTGTTTCTCTGGTACACTGGTCATAATAAAGCTCTGGGGTATAGCTGCAGAGAGCCAGGGGTCTGAAAGGTTTGAGCCATGTCTTGGTTAAAACTTACTTTCCGTTTGAGGGTTCTGAGCGCTTAGAAAGTTATTATTTTTTTGTGCCTCAATCTCAGCTGTAAATAGGCATAACTAAAGTTCCTATATCATAAGATTTTTGTGAAAAAAGGAGTAACAATAGATGTAAAGCACTGTAATAGTGCCTGGAACAATGTAATAATCTTTCACAAATATTCACTTTTATTACTACTTTTTCAGAGGATCACATGAGATAATGCATCTGAAAGGGTTGGACACAAGTAAAGACTATCTCAATGGCAGCTTTCTCTCTTCTTTTTCTTTTAAACTGAACCGAGAACGCTGGGCTATTAGAGCAGAGTGGCTCGAGGCCAAGCGCAGCCTCAATGTGGTCATTGTCATCGGGCCGCCCCTCCCCCGCAAGGGGCGCATCCCCATGGTAACGCGGGCTATGCCTCTCTCTCCGCCTCCACGGGCCTGCAGACCGGAAGCAGTCCGCGCCGGGGGCTTCTGGGAAGCGGTTTGTAAGCGGTGTTTCTGCGTCTGCCTTGGACAGCGAAGCTGCTACCTCCTGAGCCAGAGGTTTGCGCCGGAATTGGGGGGAAGGGTATGAGGAAGCGGGGGGGACTCAGGGCTGGGGTTTTCGGACCCCTCAGCAGGAGTTGGCGAGGAAGCTTGGCGGGGTCCTTTCTCGGCTTCCCGGGAGTCGCAGAGGAAAGGCCGCTGTCTTCGCGCCCCACAGCTGAGGGGCAGGCAGGGGTCGGAGGGAGGCCTGTTCGAGTCTTCAGTATCTGCGAAGTGTTCTCCATCCCTGTGTCCTGCACGACCCTCGCCTTCCCCCTCCCCCACCGGCCGGTTTTGTTCTATTTTGAGGCCCTGGCTTCTCGCGGAGGGTTCTGGGAGGTATCTCGGTGGGCGGTGCTGACAGGGCGGGCCTTGCGCGGAGGCTGCCGGGACTTGTAGTCCAAGCGGGCCGCGGGCGGAAATGCTGTAGCTTGGCCTCTCTTGGCAAGGTGGCCTGTGGTCATCTGAAGTCAGCTGCCGAGAATGCTGGGGAGGTGGGGGACACAGCAGGACTGCAGGAATGAGGCGGGAAATCACCTCGGACCAGGCGTCCACCGACTCTCGGGGCCCACCTGGCTCTCCATGTTCCACCTAGCAGTGTGTTGTGTAACATAAAAGGAAAACATGATATATAGAAATACTTGAGCCATTTGACACTGTAGAAATATTGCCTAGATCCTATTTTTAAGGCCGCTACACCTCAGAGTACTTAAATATCTATATATTATCTGTCTGTTGTGGTGTTTTGTGATTCCTAATTTTCATCTTGACTGGTTAAGTAAGTTTTCTTAAGTTACTGTTTTTAGGGTTCTCTGGGCCCTGAATAAGTGTGTAGAGAGTGTTTGCATGGCTCATTCTTCCCACGTGTGGTATAACTATATAAAGGAAAGGATCGCAAAATAGTACAAAGATTCTCTGCAGGTAGAGTGTAGGAAACGTTATGAGTCATCAGATGTAAGGAAAGACTGGGCTACTGCAAGAAGTTAGAACGGTTCTGAGAGTACTTTTTCTTAAGAGTAAGTTTGTTGTCATTAATACTAATGCCTGTCATTATAAATTTAAATGTATTTATGGTGTGATGGGTGACACTATTATTTGCATATTATTATGCAGAATATTTTACTTTTTTCCAATATTATGTGATCTGTTACTGAGCAAGTGAACATTTTTCTTCACATTTTGTCTCAGTTCTTAAACTTTCTAACATTTTGAAACTTTTTTTTTAATCCTAGAGTAACTGCCTTTTTAAAAAACAATACTGAGTATTTAGCCCAAGGCCTGTAGCACAGTAGGCAAATAAATGATCTACCACTAAGCTACATCACCAGCCCTTCCACCCTGAGGCTGGCCTCAGACTTGCTATCTTCCTGCCTCAGCTTCCCAAGTAGCTGGAATTAAAGGCATGTGCCACCATGCCCAGCTTTTTAAACTTTTTTTTTAGTACCCAGGATTGAACTTGGGACCTTGTGCTTTCAAGGCAGGTGGTGGAACCACTGAGCTAAATCCCCAGCCCAATATTGTTTTTTTAAAAGGTAGTTACTTCTGAGTTGACTTAAGTATATCAGAGGAACCAGTCCTGAATTGCAAATAATGCGTTCCAGGGTTATGCAGGTTTAAAAACACTGACGTACAGCTCTTGGATTCTTTTGATTACTGAAGTAGGGTTTGTTGCCTTTGTAGGTCATAGATTGCAGACTTTCTCTGTAAGGAGCCAGATAGTAATACCAAGTTTTTTAAGTCATGTGATTCCTGTTGAAACTATTCAACCCTGCCCCTCACAATTCATAGCATGAATTGTGAATGAATTAAATGATTTATGGAGACAGACATTTTAATTTCATGTTTTCATGTGTCAAATTTTTTTAACCACTTTAAAATTTATATACTATTTTTGGTCCAACTTTGTATAAAAATAGGCAACTGGCTAGATTTGGCTATGAGCTGTAGTTCGCCAGCTCTGGGAATGTTAGCTCTTGAAATTTTTAATCCAGTAAAAAGAGCAAATATGTTTTCCCTTATCAATTTAAATCCACGTTTTTAGGAAGATATTTAATCATTTATGTATTTTTTTATTTTTTGTACTTCAGGAGTACCTGTAACGAACAAAAGCGTGGTACTTCCCTGAGGCTTACATTCTGCCTTGTCTTTTCCTGAAGTATAAATCAGGATGTCTACACAGTCAGTGGAAGAAGATTCAATACTTATCATCCCAACTCCAGATGAAGAGGAAAAAATTCTGAGAGTAAAGTTGGAGGAGGATCCCGATGGTGAAGAGGGATCAAGTATCACCTGGAACCATCTCCCTGACCCAGAGGTTTTCCGACAGCGATTTAGGCAGTTTGGATACCAGGATTCCCCAGGGCCCCGTGAGGCTGTGAGCCAGCTTCGAGAACTTTGCCGTCTGTGGCTCAGGCCAGAGACGCACACAAAGGAACAAATCTTGGAGCTGGTAGTGCTGGAACAGTTTGTTGCCATTCTACCCAAAGAGTTGCAGACTTGGGTCCGAGAGCATCATCCAGAGAATGGAGAGGAAGCAGTGACAGTGTTGGAGGATTTGGAGAGTGAACTGGATGACCCTGGACAGCCGGTGAGCCTGCTTGTGTCACTTTTCCTGAGTCAGAACCACTGACATACCGGTAGGCAGAGCTGCTGTATTAATTTCCACCCAACTGTGTTAGAACTGTGTATGTTTATACCTTCTCCCCTGTTCCCCAATCACGCCCCATTATCTGTACTTCTTTGCCGCCGTCTAGGCCTCTCCAGTGGTTTCTCTTGTGTGTTTTCTCAACTGAACCAAAATCTTAATTATTTCTAGGTTTCTCTCCCTCGACGGAAACGGGAAGTGCTAGTAGAAGAGATTGTATCTCAAGAAGAAGCTCAGGGATTGCCAAGCTCTGAGCTTGATGCTGTGGAGAACCAGCTGAAGTGGGCATCCTGGGAGCTCCATTCCCTAAGGCACTGTGGTGAGGACCAAAACTCTAGACTGGAATGTTGGCCTTTTCCCAGAGCTCTTTGCTTGTTCTTACGAAGAGGGTAGGGGTTGTCACTTTTATCCCGATCCCCCAGACATACTGTAAGATAGTGATGGTGAACCTTTTAGAGACCAAGTGCCCAAACTGTAACTCAAAACCCACTTATCACAGAGTGCCAAACTGCAATTAAACCTGAATGCTGATATTTTTTAGAAAAAACAACTCATACATTAACATCTTCTGTCCTAAAAGAAAAGCATAACAGAGCTTTCAGAGTTACAAACAGCTTTTTATTGAAAGGTAAAAGTTTGCATTTGGTGTGCTTTTGCACAGTTAGTATGATCTTTGCTCTAGTATGCATACTGATAATTTGTCAGAATTCTCCTTTGCAGCTGCTACAATGCTAGAAAATTTCTTACAGATTTCCTGATGGCTCGTAGGATTGCCTGCAAATGTTGTAGAATTTTCTAAATGCCTTCTTAGATTTGGAAAATATTTCAGCTGCCTACTTTCAAGGTTGGGGTGACTTGGCTTGTGTGCTAACAAGAGAGGCCTCTGCATGCCTGCTGTAGCATGCATGCCATAGGTTTGCCACCATTGCTATGAGATCTTGGTTTTTTTCTGACAATTGATGTGCTGGCATCAGGGTTTTTTATTCCTAAACATTAACATCTTCAGCCTTTTCCCTTTCAAGGCATCTTTCCTGATTACTGGTATTTGTCCATGTCAGGCTAGAATTTGTCTTACTTTGAACCAGCATCTAGCCTATAAACCAGGTCTCTATATTGTAGGCAGTATTACCCATTTATCATCTGTCTTATATCTTTATGTTTCAGTCTTTTGCTTAATCTTATTGGTACAATAAGCTTACCTGAGCATCTTTTTTGTTTTTATTATTAATATTATTAATTTTTGTTTTCTTCCTTGCAGTACTGGAGATTGAACCCAGGGCCTTTGCACCAAGCTACACCTTTGCTCCTTGCCCCCCCCCCCTTTTTGTCTTGAGACAGGGTCTTGCTAAATCACTAAATTGCCTAGGATGGGCTTAAACTTGTGATCCTCCTGCTTCAGCCTCCAGAATGCCAGAATTATAGGCATGTGCCACCATGCCTGGCTCTAATGTTTTTGTATATTGTGTATCAGTGAAATCTTTCTTAATTTTTAATTATTTCTGTTTTCTTTCAAATCCTACCCAACAGTAAATTTTTTCTAAGAGTTTTTGTAGAAATGACTTTTGGGGTAAATACTTTCTCTAAGTATTTATGCAGAAATAAGCTCCTTAGCTATAATAATGCTTGAATGCAGAAATATTTTTAAATCTCATAATTGTAGTAATTCACTTACTACATGGATTCCCAATATATTGACTATTAATGGCATATACGTACATGCATATAACCCTATATAACCCTGTATGTTCCTAAAACTGGTAGATTTCATTTTATATTGATATGAGTTTAAATGAAATTTTGTTTGAGACCACTTTGGGAATCATTCCTTGAAGTAGTTGGCGATAATGCTGGTGTGCTTAGACAGAATGAAGTCTGAGCAGATTTTCTTCTCTTGCAAGGAAACATTGCTAGCAAATCACAGCTTCTGGGATACAGCTGAAATCTGCTGGTTATCTGCAGTGTTGTATGTTTTCTAGGGCATTTTTCTGTGAAGAAAGCTTAAGAACTAGCCTTTGGTCTTTGAACTAGTCTGGTTTTTTGGCATTTTCTGGGGTAGAAACTTCTTCCTTTTTGAATTTTAGAATAATTTTTAGAATAATAATTTTAGAATGCAGCTATTTTAAATAGCTACATTCCAGCACACTAGTCCTTCCACATTTGGGAACTTCCTTTTCTTTTTGTGCTGATTGTCTCCGTGTAACCTTCAGTCACTTCTCTGTTCATGTGTCCAGTCCTAACTAACTTCCTCTAACCCTTTAGTCCCCTCTCCTTTTTCCTCTCTCCCTTCCTCTGCCTTTTCTCCCGACTTTGTCCTTTTGTTAAATCCTGTACCTTTGACCACTTTGAGTGCTCCTGTTCACTGTATATCACCTGTGTGTCTGCTCTTTAAGGGTTGAAGTTTCAGGGAATTCTTAAATGTGACTTGTGCTTACCTCCCCCTACAGGTGGGTAAAGGTATCTCATGTTGATAATTGAGGCTTTTCTTTTCACTGAACACATCTCACTTAGGCCTAGCAGTAGAAATTTTTCTAGGCATCATGACAAACACCAAACAGGACAAGCTTCTTTTTCTGATACTGGGGATCGAACTTGGGACCTTGCGTTGGCGAGACAGGTGGCGGAACCACTGAGCTAAATCCCGGTCCAGGACAAGCTTTTTTTTTGGTACCGGGGGGGATTGAACTCGGGTCCTTGTGCTTTCGGGGCAGGCGGTGGAGCCACTGAGCTAAATCCCCAGCCCCAGGACAAGCTTTTTTAAGAGTAAACCTTTTGTTTATTAAGGGTATATTGAATTTTAAGTGTCATGTCTCCAATTAACACATGATGCCCTCTGGTTATCTTCAGTCTCTTCATATTCAGACTCCTGGGTATTCCTTTTAGTCTAACTTTGGCTGTGACATGCCTTGTCTTGCTCATTTTTAGAAGTAGTTACAGATTTTTTTGTTTTTTGTTTTGGTACTGGGGATCGAACTCGGCTCCTTGCGCTTGCGCAGCAGGCGGCGAAACCACTGAGCTAAATCCCTGGCCTACACCTTTGTGTTTTGATGTAATTTCTTTCTTAAAGGAAAGAACATTATAATGATTTTCTAATGGTTCTTTACTAAAAAATTTTATCCAGATCTTGCTATATCATTTTTGACTGTTTCCCTAACAGTCTTAGAATCTACCATTTATAACCTTCTTGACTATGTTTTCCCTAGATACAAGCTTTTAAGTTACCATGTTCTTACCTTATCTCATAATCAGTCGTTTCATTTTTTTCTTTTCTGGAGTAGACAGCTTTACCAGTAGTTTTCAGAGTACTATTTATAGATGTGTACAAGCTGGGGTGTTTTGTTTGTTTTTTTGCAGTACCAGGAATCGAACTCAGAATCTTGCTCTTGAAAGGCAGGTTCCACTGAGCCACTGAGCTAATTCCCCAGCCCTGTACAAGTTGTTTTTATGTTTGGTTCATTAAAAATTCTTTTTCTTGTTGTTTTTTCCCTAAATAGGAAATGAGTGTTGTTTGCATTTTCTTTTTATTTCAGATGATGATGCTAGGACTGAAAATGGAGCTCTAGCTCCAAAGCAAGAGATTGCTTCGGCTGTAGAATCTCACGAAGTTCCTGGGACTCTCAATATAGGTGTTCCTCAAATTTTTAAATATGGAGAAACCTGTTTCCCAAAGGGCAGGTTTGAAAGAAAGAGAAATCCCTCTCGAAAGAAACAACATATATGTGATGAATGTGGAAAGCACTTCAGTCAGGGCTCAGCCCTTATTCTTCATCAAAGAATCCACAGTGGGGAAAAACCTTATGGATGTGTCGAGTGTGGGAAAGCGTTCAGCAGAAGTTCCATCCTTGTACAACACCAGAGAGTACATACTGGAGAAAAACCTTACAAATGTCTTGAATGTGGGAAAGCCTTTAGCCAGAATTCTGGGCTTATTAATCATCAGAGAATCCATACTGGGGAGAAACCTTATGAATGCATTCAGTGTGGGAAATCCTATAGTCAAAGCTCAAATCTTTTTAGACATCAGAGAAGACATAATGCAGAAAAACTTTTGAATGTTGTGAAAGTTTAAGAAGTTACAAAAAAAAAATCAGCACTCAGGTCTTTTTCTTCAGAAATGAAGACAAAATTTAAAACATGAAGTGATACAGAATAGTTTTTTTCCTGTTGACTCTCAGAAAATCTACTGGGAAATGCTAAAAAAATCTTCACTCACCATGATTATTTTATCTTGAAAGAAATGATGTTAGCCTGCCTAGAAACTGAAATTTTAAACTTAATTCAGGTGTTAATGCCTAAATTTTCCATGTGATGGTTTTTTTTTCCAAATAATGAATTACTTGGTTCTTTGTCCCTTTCTTAAAAGTTTCCTTTTTCAGACAGATAACTTATTTCTGTGTTGATCATTGAAATGTTCTTTGTAAGGATACATTCCCTTCGCCTTTAAAAGGCAACATAGGGATTATAAGTCTGAAAAACATTTTAAAACCTTTTTTTTTTTTAAACTTACTGTTCTGTTTCCTTTTACCTAATTTGAATATACATTTAAGAAAATAGAAGCTAAAAGATGGCTAAAAGCCTCAAAATAAAATGAGCCTTAAGATTTCAGAGAAGTTTTAGTGATAAAACTTCAAAAAGTGAGCAGGACATCTAGATTGGGAAAGATATACAAATACTTTAACCTTATCATTGAAGTATATCAGTTTAAGTGTAGTCATTGCCTACAGAAAAACTTTTAAAAACACATTTAATCTGGGGGCATCTTATTAATGAAAATGTTTTCCCATATGTCATTAAAAATAGTTTAAAGAATAAGCAATTATAAAGCTGAAGGTAGAAATTAGAACACTAAGAATTTGCAGTGAATGGCAGTTATTGAAAAGCAGATGTTTTGGCTTTTAGAAGAAGAGATTCAAAGATCTAATGCATTCTTGTTTTGCCTTTATCTTTGTTGCGAACAGCGTATTCCCCAATAGGTGGGCAACAAGTGTCAGGTTTGCTCTTTTTATTTCTTTGGTACAGAAGGGTTGAACACCAGACTAAAAATAGTCTTGCATTTATTAAACATTTTTCTACTGACAAGGCACTGTGCTAGGTACTGTAATCCTACCATAAGTGGGTAGGTATTTCTTCCACTGTAAATCATAGGGGGTTTGATACAAAGCTGTTTTGTTTTATGTAGTTAGCTTCTTTTCCCTGTCAGCATTCCAAGAGGAGGTCACTGCTGAGATTCTCAGAGCCATAGTTCTCTCACCAGGGTGTTGTATTTGGAGGGAAAGGAGGACTCAGCTCAAAGAGCTAGCTGGCTCTCCAGCATTCTTCAGAGGTGAGTCCAAGATATACTTTATCACACTTTGGCAGTTTATAAATCTTAAAAAAAACTGAACAATCTAGTAGCATTGAGGTTGTACCTATCAGTGAGGTTGAATGGACTGTTCTACTTTAAACAACTAGGCTATTAACAGCTAGTTTATTAACTATCAGAATTGATTGAACTATTTTTTTTTAAATTTTCAGTCTTAACACATTTAAAAAATGTATTAAAGTAATACATTGTAGTAGTAGGATTATATACTCCTTGGCTGAGAATCCCAAGTACTGTGGTTCTATTATTTAGTGGAAAACTCGGGAAGATAAAGTATTGAGTATGAAAAAAGGCTTTTCAGAAATGGGCATCACGGTATGGAAAATGATCCATGTTAATACAGATATTTAGTAGTTCCAGATATTTGGGTTATATGAGGTGCTTGGATCAGATTTTAAAATGGAAGGTGAGATTTGCATGAGCCTGTTAAAAAGCATAGTAGTGCTGGGCCAGCTGGTGGAAAAGTGAGGAAGAATGGAGCTTGTTTATAGATTTTCTGATAACAATTATAAGAAACGTGCTTTATAGATTAAGATTTATTGAAGTATAAATATGTAGTAATGATATAATGTATTTTAAGTTATACAAGAAAATGTAGGGACTTTTGTTTGGGTTTTTTACTCTTTGTGGCTGAGAGGAAACAAGTCAATGTCTAATAAAGCTATAAACTCCTCTGCTCTTAAGTAAAATGATCTTGGGTTGATTGATTTATTTATTTATAACTGGCTTTTTTCCAAGTAGGTTTTGAGGTGGTATATTTGGAAGACTGCTGGGATGAAAGAATTTTTGTGTTAGAGTAGGTAAGAAGGAAGTGGCCTCTCAGGCTGGAAAATTCATGCTTTTAAATGTCTTATATATTGCCCGTATATAAGGAAGTTTCCCTGTGATAGATTTGTCATAAATACCAAAGATACTTGGTAATGTGAGAGCACAGAAAAGGTAGCATTAGAGTTGGCAAATATGTTTTTTGTCTTGCCAGCTCTGATACCTGTGCATTGTTTAGAAAGGATTCTGAGGCTAAGGCAAGGCTTTGTGGGGAAAGAGGACTGGACCAAAAATAATTGGATGATACACGGGGAAAGGAAGTAATGAGATGTGCACTCACCATCTCCAGCTAGGCTTAAGTCCCTGTGGACAAGTTGGTTCAAAATAACTAGTGTATTATGATATCATCCAGACATTGATTTATACCCACACAGATAATCGTGGTAATTTGGGGGGATGCTTAGCTTCTAATGAAGTGGTGATATGACAGTTACCAACCAGTGGCCCAACCAGGACTCTGGTTAGCAAATGAAACTTGTGTTAGGGCGTGCAGACTGCTGGTGACCTGCTCAATAGCCACTGAGCATTTCTAGTTGCTATTACATTTTCTTCTGGTTTTCTGGGAGGTTATGCTTTTCACATTGACACTCAATTGACATTTGATCATTTAGCAGTGTTTGGAGGGAAAGGTTACATGTATTGAAATATTCATGATAAGCATTGAATTTGTCACTTACCCCTATCACTTCTGTAGACTAGGAAATCAAGATTCAGAGACTTGCATGTGGCCAATTAGAGCTAAAACTCAAATCTAGTTTTCTGGACTCCCAAGACACTTTTTCACTGTGCTGAGTAATGCCTGCTAAATCTTAGTTGATAAATACTACATTTATATGTTCTATGGTTAGCATGCTCATCTGAATTTTTTACAGTACAGAAATGTAAAATGAAAAGGTCATTTCCTTTCATAGCCTTACCCAGAAGTGATGATAATGTGGTTTGTTCTTCCAGATTTAGCCATACACAAGTTTAAGGAAAAAAAAAAAGTTAATAGCTGACACTTAGGGTTGCTGTGTACAAGCACCAGTTGAAGTGCTTTACCATGGATTAACTCTTAATCTTTGGCAATGATATGAGGTAGGTACATGCCCCATTTTAACCAACCCCATTTTGACATATATTAAGTTCTTTATAGATACAGATAGAGTATATTTAACATTCCTGTACATATATTTTGCTACCTATGTGGGTATTTCTGTAATATAAATAGCTAGAAATGGATTTATTGGTTAGGGAATGCACATTTGACATTTTTGAGAAATACCATCAAAAAGATTGTCCAATTTATAACTCCATTGATAGTAAAAATGCCTGCTTTCCTACAGTCCCACCAACACTGCACCCTTAAAAGATTTTTGCCCATTTGATAGGCAAAATGTGTTTTATCTTTTTGTTGTGCCTTTCTTTGATTAATGGGGAGGAACATTTTTTCATGTTTATTGGCCAGTTTCATTTCCTTTGTCAATTGCTTTCATTTATTTTTCTTTAATTATGAAAGTATAAATGACTGCCTTCTAATATAAAATTTAATTGATATACAAGTGTAAGAACAAACACCATTTTTCCTGGGCTCCCAGTCACATTCCACTTTCCACAGTTTAGTATATTTCCTTCTACTACCCTTTCCATACATTTCCATATGATTAGACATAAGCATATAAACACTTTTTACATAAATAGGGTCATATATAGGAAATCCTTTTTTGTTTCAAAAATTCTGAGGTCTTTAAATTTCTTCAGTGGTTGAATGGGATTAAATACTATGACGATAACATTATTTATTCTCCATTTTTCTTGTGCTATTATATTGCCAAAGTAAACATCTTTTTCAGATGTCTTTGAGCATATGAGTGAATATTTCTTTAGATTGGAGTCCTATAAAGTGGATTGTTGGGTTGAAAGGTTTGCCATCTGACAGACCTACCTTAGCCTTCCAAAATATTTTCATAACATATATTTTCACCAACTGTATGGAAAGTGTTCATTTCCCCATATAGCCTTACCTATACTTGATAGTCTGTTGGGCAAAAGAGAGAAAATCCTTACCTTGTTTTGCATTTCCCTGATAAGTAGTGAAGTTGGGTTATATTCATGTTTATTGGTCATTTATAGTTTTAACATTGATTGTACCTTTTACCTGCTTTTCTCTTGGGCTATGTGGATATTTGTTGCTTTTGTTTGTTTATCATCTCTTTCCTCATCTAGTAACAAAACTCTTATTTATTGTGGTGAACCCATTCCGTGTGGCTTAGGTGAACACATAAACAAGCTTGGTCTCCTGAGTCCCATAGCTCCCTAGCCACAGCAATTAAAGAATGGACATATAATTTAAGCCAGCTAAGGAGAGCCCTCAACAGAACTGCTGTAACTACTGGAAACAAGGTTTTATGGAGATCCCAGGAAGCAAAGATAATGTAAGCCTGAACTTGTACCATATGGAGAAAGTCTGTCTGTGGAGAAACTTGGAGGCTAATAGAAATGGAAAGAGAACTAAGTTCTGATGTCATTTTCCTGGAGGCCCTCAATCCAGCTGTGCCTAAAGCCTGCCCTACCTCCGGACTTTAAAGTTTTGTGAGCCAATAAAGTCCCTTTCTTGTTTTAAGATAATTGGATTTGGTTTTTGTCCTGATTAATATAGGTTATTTGTATTTTCTTATTGATTTGTAGAAAACCTTTGTAATTTTAAATTCTAAACTTATACTTCATGCGCTATATGTTAATAAAACTAGCATGGCCTTCCATGATTTGGCCTCTCAACCTCTGCCATTTGTTACTTCACCCCAGTTCCTACACCACACCACACACATATAGTTGACAACAATAAATGTTGGCACTGAAAAAAGTCTGGATTAACACCTTTTGACACAACTGCCTCTTTAGAACTTCTCATCCTTCCTCCAGATTAATTCATCTGGGACTCCAGGACTAGGTATTAACGCTACTAAGTCTGCTGCATCCACCTAACACTGCTCTTGGAGCATTCCCTTCAAGCATCTGCTACATATGAAGACAATTTGGCAGTTTCTTAGAAAATTAAAATACTCTTTCGTATACGATTGAGCAATTGTACTCCTTGGTAGTTAACCAAAAGAGTTTAAAACTTACATTCACACAAAACCTACACACAGATGTTACAGCAGCACTGTTTGTAACTGCTAAAAATGTCCTTCAGTAGGTGAATGGGTAAACTGGTAATTCTAGACATTGGAATATTAGTGCTAAAAAATCAGCTATCAAGCTGTAAAAAGAAAACTCAAAGGCACATTATTAAGTGAAAAGCAATCTGAAAGATTATGTGATTCCAAATATATAACAATCTGGAATAAGCAAAACCATGGAGATACCTAAAAGATCAGTGATTGCAGAGATTAGGAGATGGTAAGAGCACAGAGATTTGTCAGAACCCATGAAATGTACCACACTAAAAGTGATTCCCTAATGTAAACTGCTTTGGGTGATAGTGATGTGTCACTGTAGGTCCATCAGTTGTAACCAATATACCACTCTGGCAGTAGACACTGAAAATGAAGCCTATACATATGTAGAGATACGGAATATATGGAAGATCTCTACCTTCTCAATTATGCTGTAAGCTCAAAACTAAAAAAAAATGAGATCAACTGAAGTACCACTTAGAGAAAAATTTATAGCAATACAATACCTATACTAGGAAAAAAAACAGTTCTCAATTACCTCAGCTTCTGTTTTAAGTAGAATGACATACTAAACCCAAATTTAAAAGGAAAGACTAGATTGGAAATTAAAATAGAAAACAAAAATGAGCAAACAAGGATGAATTTCTATAGTCTAATCCAAAAGCTATTTTGTAAAGATTTTTTTAAAAAGTTCTAGCCAAATTGATCAGGAAAAATACAAATTATACTAGTAATTAGAGGGGTAACATTATTATACAAATTCTCCATATAGCATTCTAGCCAAGCTTGCTAACTGCCCTATTTCTGATTCCAGTCCTCATTTCTTAACATTTATGTAGCTGTCAGTAGTATTTTGCATAGTTGTTGCATTTTATTTGGTTTCTAGAACAACAATTCACATTTCTTCATCTCTGGATTTAATATGTTGGAGCTCCTGAAGACAGGTTTGCAACCTCATTTCCTTCTATATGCATTCCCTTGTTGATCTCATCTGGTCTTTGATTCTAAAGTCTATATCCTCAACCTAGGACTCCACTTTGAACTCCAGACTCATCCCTTTGCCTACCAGATATCTCCACTTTGATAATGGCCTTAGTTTGGATTCCTGATAAAACAGCTTAAAAGAAAAAATCTATTGCTAGCACATAATCAGGGTGATATATTTCCAGAAAAAGATGGCTGAAGGTAAATGGAAGGTGAAGCAAGGGAGACAAATAAGAGTAGGTATTATTGAGACATGCAGCTCCTAAAGAGGCACAGCTGTTTGCTTGGTCTCACTGAACACAATGTAAGCAGTATAAACTATGTCACTTCGCCATGGGCTGCAGAGAAGAAAGACTTCTGCAGATTCTCCTCTCCCTCTGGCTGAGCTTCCCTTACAGAGCATCAGCTCCTCCACACTTGCACTATTCAGCCTGTCGGGCAGCAAGAATGAGAAAACCAACAACATAAGATGGTACCTTGGCCAGTGATTAAGCAGGAGTCAGGAGCCTAAGGGGTGGATGGTGTCAGGCAATCTTAAAGAGTCATCAGTAACATAAAACAGAAAACTCTGGCCCTACAAATAATGAGGCTTATAATCTGGGTTTGGCAGTGTCTGGAGATGTTTTTGGTTGCCATAACTGAGGAAGGAAGGGTTGCTCCTGGTCTCCCAGATAGAGACCAGGGATGGTATTAAACATCCTATAAATCTACAGGATAGCCTTCCACAGCAAAGAATTATCTGGCCCAAAATGTTAATGTGCAGAGTGTGAGAAGTTCTAAGACATTTTTTGCCAGATTTCTCCACTGTCGTTACTATTCCATTTTTACTCTCTATGCCAAGTGAACAGTTCCCTGTCCCCTCTGAAGGTATGGAGTTCAAATACAACACTCCACACAGATGATTAAAATCTATACAATTTGGAATTCTTCTATAAGAAAGATTTATCTCTTCCATATGGACTCATAACATTTATTTGACTGTAGGAACTCTTGCAGGTTGGCTCTTGTGTTCCTTTGACATGCCTTTATCCTGTTTTTTGAGTTCTACTACAAGATGGTCCAGGTTCATCTTATATTTTCCCAGCCTTAGCCTTAGGATCAACTGTTTCTTAAAGGAGCCCAGGTTACTTTAATTTGGAGAATGGTATTTAGAAACCAAGGTCTAGTTATGCTTTTTTTTTTTTTGGTACCAGAGATCAAACGCAGGTCCTTGCGCTTGCGCAGCAGGCGGTGAAACCACTGAGCTAAATCCCCGGCCCCTAGTTATGCTTATTGATACTAAGGTATCATTGCTTCTGGGTCTTCTTGGAGAATAGGGGTCATTGTTAGTACATATGTGTGTACTGTATACTAACACATGTATAGACACATGTTCTGTCCTCTGTGTACTGTATGTGTTTTTTTGTGTGTAAAATGTATATATGTGTTAATATTGATGTCTCTCAGTCTAACGTTTATGGTAATCTTTGAACACTGAATATTGCGCATGAAAAATTCCAGTCTCTGGATGAGGTTGTCATCTTACAGGAAAACAAATTTCAGGAGCTTTACAAAGTTTTTCCTTTTCTTTCTAATTATAACTAAACTCTACCTATTCTGAGAACTAATGAGTTATCTTGTCCTGCCTTTATGGTTACATTGAGCCATGTATTTTCTGGATAGTCCCTATCACTATACAACATATACTTTATTTGAAGAGACAAGTATGTTCTTCATATATATTACAAAACCCTCCCAAAGCCTTGCCTATGTAATTAACAGTATCTGCTAAATGGAAATACTAATTGTATAATTATGGGGGATATACAAAGTAACTGATAGTAGAACCTACCAAATGGTTAATACTAAAAAGGCAATTGGAATTTTTATTTTTAAAAATTATTTTTGTTATTCAGTTGAGAACTTTACATTTATGTTGCCTTTAATCAATACATCAGAAAAAAAGATGACTGTTGCCATTTTTAAAATAAGATCAAAAGTTATAAAAAATTTTTAGACAAAATTTGTACACAGATTAATCATGTAGGTAATACTTCAGCTACTGTATGGTGAAAATCCACTGTCTTCTCTATACTAACACATTTCTAACACCAGATGTGTGTAGGCTTTTCCCACACCAATTTTCTAGATAGCAACTGGGTGTCCTACAATTCAATTATAACTCTACCTAGAGTTGTCATAGACCCTTCAGGTTAAGCATTCAGTCCCACAAGACTGCCCCCTTCCACTTCAGGGCCCCACTTCAGGCATAAATTACATGTCTATGTTTTCACTGTTATTTCTGACTGGCTTTAAATCAGAGGTTTCTGTAACCCCTAGAATGGCTCATGGAACTCAGAAAAAGTTTATTTAGGAGACTGCTGGTTATTATTAATAAAAAATACAATACTTGGGATCAGCTGGGTGGAAGAGACTAGGGCAAGTTGTGTGGGAACAGACAGATCTTATCCCTTCGTTATGCTCCACTTTCCATTTAACTTCTGAGTTTACCAACTTGGAAGGTCTTTGAATCTTGTCCTTTTGGCATTCTATAGAGGCTTCTTTATGTAGGCAGAATTGATTAAATCATTGGCTGTTGGTGATTGAAGTCAATCTCAGCCCGTCCTCTCTCAGAGGTCAAGTTGGGGTAGGGTAGGACTACTGAAAATTCCAATCCTCTAATCATAAGTTTTGTTTTCCTGTCAACTAGCCCCATCCTGAGGTTCTCTAAGGTCTTTTCCAAAAGTTGTCACATAAACTTTGGCGTGGTTGAAAGGGGGTTGTTATGGATAAGAAAACATTCTTTTCATCTTTGCTTTCCACTCCTTTCATCTTAACCGTTCTTATCACTTAGGAAATTCCAAGGAACTTTAGGAACTTGTCCTCCTGTATTCATGATTTTGCTTTCTGTGATTTCAGATATTCATAGTTAGCCTTGAAAATATAAATATAAAAATAAATGGAATATTCCAGAAATAATAAATTCATAAATTTATGAGCAGTGTCACAAAATTTTGCACCATCTGGCACCACTTCTCTCTTCATGTGAATCATCTCTGTTCAGGAAATCTGTCTTGGCTCTTTTCTCATTACTGGAACACAGGAGCTGACACCCACAATGCTAAGGAGGACGGTTTATTTTGGCTCACAGTTTGTAGAGGTTTCAACCCACAGTTGGTTGGCTTCAAGGCAGGAGAGCATGGGAGAGGTCTATGGCAGAGAAGAAAGAGCTCATGGCATGCAGAGGGAAGTGGAGATCGAGGGAGGAAAATCATCCTTACAGGCCACGCCATGAGCTCCCAACAACACATTTAGCTATAAACTTATTCACAGACTAATTCATTGGTGAGTATCACATCCCCACAAACATCACCTCTTCAAATCCCCACTTATGAATGCAAGAGGCTTTGGGGGGACATTTTTTGGGGAATAAGACCCAAGTCTCAATTTGTCGATGCCAGAAAGAATGCACTCAGACACAAAACAAGAAACCTTGACAAGACAGTTTTAGTTTTTCTTCTGCAGAAGAAAATAAATATGAGGTAGCAGGCATGTTCTAGCGCAGAACAAAGGAGGGTCAGCTCTTTCTTTTATCCTAAGGCAGGAGTGGGTAGCTGACCTCTTCCTCATTGCCTGGGTAGAAGGTTCACAATCTGTCTTGACTGGCTAGCTCAGGTCGCATGGGAGGAATCAGAAAAATTATTGAGGGAGAAAGGGAGCAGAGTGAAGGGGGAATGTGGGGAACTGAATGTCCTTGGCTCCTGATAAGTTACCCTTGGTTTATAGCTGTGTTCCCAGGGTCTGAACTGAGCAGGTACTGGTGTGTCCAGGAAGGGCTATTTGGGGTAGGCCAGAGCCTGAGATACAGACAATTCCATTTGACAGAAAAGACAGAGCTTATTTTTCCATTATCTAGATATAAATGATAACAGTATCTGTGTTGTGTACACTACCAGCCCATTAAGTCACTTATTAGCTGTATTGGCCATCAAATTGACTATGTCTGTAAGGCATTTCTTTTCTTTTCTTTTTTTTTTTTTTTGGTACCGGGGATCGAACTTGGGTCCTTGCGCTTGCAAGGCAGGTGGCAGAACCACTGAGCTAAATCCCTGGCTCTGTAAGGCATTTCTTCTGTTCAAGTAATTCTTAATTTACTCAGTAATGGTCCAATGTGAAGAGTAGATTTCCTGGCAATTTGGATATGCCAAAGAGAAGCCATAGAATGGTTTCTTGAAGTAAAAGGTGGAAGTTTTTGAGTTAAGGAAAAAAAATCACACACTGAGGTTGTGATCTGTGGTTAAGAATGAATCTTCTATCTGTAAAATCGTGAGGGGGAAATCACACCAGTTGTGCTGATGGGCCTCAAACTGCAAGTTATAGCCTCAGTGCATGTTAAGTGGTCAGTTAAGACAAGGCATTATAGTATACAGTTCAGTAGTGTCTAAGGCTTTAGGAATCCATTGTGAGTCTTGGAACCTCTGTCAATGAGAAGGGGGCTACTGATATATTTATTATAAATCATTAAATCAAAGTTAGCATTTTTGTTCAAAAGATGAATATACGCAGTGATAGAAAAATCTTCACATCAGAAAATTTTTTAAAAATTCTGTTTCACATATTTGGAAACTGTAATTAAATGGTAGTGAAGATGTAATTTCAAAGCAATAAAGTTTATGAACTGCATTACTGAGCGTGAAATGAATCAGTATTTGCTGTGTACACCACAGGAACTTGCACAAAATCATGCTCACTAGGAAAAAAACAAAACTAGACCATTAAAAAAAGTAAGAAAGGGGGCAATGGAGTTACCTAGTAAGTTTAATAGCAGAATGGCACAGCATGTTTACACATAAGAAATTTATAGATAGACATCCAGCATCATCATAAGACAGGACTCTAGTTTAGTCAGGGGATAAATATTCAATCAGTGTAAATACTGATTAAGATATGGAGATTTAAGTTTTTCCTACATTCTCTAAAATAACTTCTGATATGCAGATAGAAATCTGGATTCACTAAAGGTCTGAGATTCTAAAGCTAATTCATTTCCTTCTGAGTTTTGATGGCATGCATACCTCTCCACACTGATTTTTAAAATACATAAATTTTGTCCTAATCTTATTAAACATTTTTTAGAGGTAAATTCCTTTGTGAATTATATCTGAATAAAAGACTAGAGCTTTCCTTAAATTTTAACACATAGGAACTTCTTTTTATAGTTGATTACTGACATTCTGTAAAAATTTTATTCACATTGAAGGTTTTCCCACAACTCCCAGAACTCCTTGGAAATTTTGATTTTAGTAATGTCTGAGATCTGAGCTAAATTTTCACTATAAGAATTGAACTAATTTTCCCCCTAGAAGCTTTCTAAAATAATGTAGCATAAATGTTGAACACTGATTAAAACTGTTTGTGTCCATCAATAGCATTCATAGGATTGTTCTGGCATGGTATCTCCAGTACTGAATAAAGCTGGTGTATATGCTAAAGGTTTTTCCACATTCATCGCATTTAAACTGTCTTCCCTAGAATGGAGTTTCTCATGATTAATAATATCAGAGAGTTGGCTAAAATTTTTGCTGCACTGAACACACTGGTAGGACTTCTCCCTTGTGTGGATTCTCTGGTGTTCAGTAAAACCTGTGTCCGTGCTGAAGGTTTTCCCACAAATATCACATTTATATGGCTTTTCACCAGTATGGATTCTTTGATGATTATTGAGATCAGAGCGACGACTAAAGTTTTTGCCACACTGATCACATGAATAGGGTTTCTCCCCAGTGTGGATTCTCTGATGTAAGATAAGAGCTGAGCACTGACTAAAAGCCTTCCCACACTCACTACATTTATATGGCTTTTCTCCAGTGTGGATTCTCTGGTGTTTGGTAAGGTCTGAGTTCTGACTGAAACTTCTGTTGCACTGTGTGCATGGGTATGGTTTTTCTCCAGTGTGAATTCTCTGATGCAGAATAAGGTCAGAACTCTGACTGAAGGCTTTCTCACAACTATTACAATGATAGGGCTTTTCACCTGAGTGCACTCTCTGATGTTTAGTGAGGTCTGAGCTTTGACTGAAACTTTTATTGCACAGATCACACATATATGGTTTCTCTCCGGTGTGTGTTCTTTGATGCTTTACGAGATCTGAACGCCGACTAAAACTTTTAGCACAGTTGGTACATGGGTAAGGTTTTTCTCCAGTGTGGATTCGCTGGTGTAGAATAAGGTTGGAGCTCTGACTAAAGGTTTTTCCACACTCCTCGCACTCATACGGTTTTTCACCTGTATGAATTCTATGATGTTTCACAAGATCAGACCTTCGACTAAACATTTTATTGCACTGATTGCAAGGGTAAGGTTTCTCTCCAGTGTGAATTCGTTGGTGATTAATAAGATCTGACAGCCTACTGAAGGTTTTGCTACATTGATTACATGTATAGGGTTTCTCTCCAGTGTGAATTCTTTGATGCAGAATAAGGACAGAGCTCTGATTAAAAGCCTTTCCACATTCATTACATTTATAAGGTTTCTCTCCCGTGTGAATCCTTCGATGTTTAATAAGGTCTGAGTTCTGACTAAAACTTTTGCTGCACTGATTACATGGATATGGCTTCTCTCCAGTGTGGATTCTCTGATGTAAAATAAGATCCGAGCTCTGACTAAAGGCTTTCCCACACACATCACACTTATATGGTTTCTCCCCAGTGTGAATTCGTTGATGTTTTATAACATCAGAACTCTGACTAAAATGTTTGTTACACTGATTACATGTATAAGGCTTCTCTCCAGTGTGGATTCTCTGATGCTTAACCAGGTCTGAGCGCTGGCTAAAACTTTTACTACAATGACTGCATTGATAGGGCTTTTCTCCTGTATGGATCCTCTGGTGTATAATAAGATCTGAGCTCTGACTGAAGGCTTTCCCACATTCATCACACTTATAAGGTTTTTCACCAGTGTGGACTCTTTGATGTTTAATAAGGTCTGAGCTCCGACTAAAACTTTTAACACACCAATTACAGGGATAGGGTTTTTCCCCAGTATGAATTCTCTGATGCAGAACCAGGGCTGAGCTCATTCTAAAGGCCTTTCCACATTTATCACATTCATAGGGTTTCTCCTGGTGGGCTCTCTGGTGCTGAATAAGGCCTGTACTACAAACAAAGTTTTGGTCACATTCACTACAGTTATGTTGTCTTTTTTTAGAGAAGTTCTCATCCTTTTCATTTGATTTATCTCCAAATTTATAGAATTCTCTGCCTTCAGAATCCTGGAGAACATCCTCTCCAGAGCTGCCAAATTCTTCAGTCAATGATTCAATTTTTGCTGTAATTTCTTCTTCTGATGCTGGTTCTCCATCTGGAACAATAAACAAAATCCAAATGGAATGCATTTTTACACTATAAGAAAGTTTTAGGTGAGACAAATCAGAGTATTTACCTATAAATATCATGACGATATGGTAATGCTCCACACACTGAAAGTTACCTTCTGAGAGGATAATTGCAAAGAATCAACAAACAATAGATCACATTAATCATTAATAGAAGTGACTTGCTGCGCAAGCTCAAGGACCCAAGTTCGATCTCCGGTACCAAACAAACAAAAAAAGCACTCATTAATTAATAGAAGTGACTTGCAATATACATTCTATATGATTGTCACAGAAAATCTCAGAAGATACTATGATTAGGAAAGTGTGACTAAGTTAGAGCCAATACATAAGCAATTTATTAACATATATAGGGTAAGAAGTGTAAAAATAGCCTAGAAAAAGGAAAAGAAGTTGGTTAGGCCTTATTTCGCTTTGTCCAGCTATTTGGGCTAAAAATATTGATGAAAAAAAAAATCAAAGCGCAATCAAAACCCTTCCATTCAACTGCATCTTTTCTATCCATTTTTATAAACTCCCGACAGGAGTTTTGTCTGAAAAGTCTCCTTCCCTTCTAGGGTGCCAAAGTTTCTTCACTGCACAGTAGTTCCAGTGCAGTGAAAAGAACTCTGTGACTTTTTACTGTCATCTTGAAAAGGGTCTGAAAGCGGAAGACTACAGGAGGGGCTGAGTAGTAAGACAGCTGTTCCCATTTTTCCTAAGCATCAGTCACCCTGCTCCCCATCTCCCCAGCAAGCCAGCTGAAGTTATAATAATTTACCTGGTTTCTGTCTCTAATGATCACAAATCTCCCTTTTTTTTTTTTTTTGGGTACTGGGGATCGAACTCGGGTCCTTGTGCTTGCGAGGCAGGTGGCGGAACCACTGAGCTAAATCCCCAGCCCCAAAATCTCCCTTCTTTTATGAGTCTCTGTAACTTGTCTACCTAGAATGATTTTTTTTTTTTGTGGTACTGGGGATTGAGGACCTTTGTGCTTATTTCTTGAGACAGGGTCTCCCTAAAGCACTGTGTTGCTCAGGCTGGGGGTGAACTTGCAACCCTCTTGCCTCAGCCTCTCTGAGTGCTGTGATTACACGTATGTGCCACCTTGCCCAGCCTAGTATGAATCTTAATCACTAGTTGTTACAATGGGATAAACTTGAGGCTAAACACTAAACTGATAAATAGGAAGTTAGAAACAAGAGAGTTGCTACAGTTCGGCATCATTTAAACCACTGTGTTTGAACATGCTCCTTAGATTTGGCCTATACCATCCCCCCATGCATACTCATTAATAAGCAATAAAGTGGAAAAACATTTATTGTTCAGTTGGCCGTATACGTAACTTGGTCAACATGTTTGGTACTGATTCTTCTTAACTTCCCTCAAATCCTTTTAGGGCCTATAAGGCTCTTATCCTTTCTCTTCCAGAAAGCCATGTCTCTGTTAGCATCCCATCTTTGTCACTAAAACGGCTAAAAATGAAAATATCTGGGATTTTATACTTCCTGAAAGATAACAAGTTAGCCTACAAGTCTCATGGCCTCTGCAAAGACATATGACTCCTGGATGAGCAACAAAAGATAGTTTATTATGGCAATAGGAGTCTTTGACTCAGCTCCCGAACTTCAATTCCCACATGTGATACATGTAGTAAGTTGTATTACAGGAGAACCCTGGGCCTACAAGAACCGTGACACCCAAATCTTTTATAAAAGGTGTTAAAGACAACTGTCCTCTACTTCAGAGAGAGACACTATCACTGTACTCAAAGGCTGCTTGTCATACATCATTCTGAAAAAATAATCCAAAATGACGGCAGTCAATGTCTCTGTTTGTAAGATACACAGAAACACAAGAGCTCGTGGAGAACTAACTCTTAGCCCTAACTTTAATAGAAACTGCTGGGGATTTAGTTCAGTGGTTCCACCACCTGCCTTGCAAGTGTAAGGTCCCGAGTTTGATCCCCGGTACCAAAAACAAACAAACAAACACCTAACTTTAATAGAAATGACAGAAACCAGAAGGCAATAGAATGTCACCTTTCAAGTGATGAAAGACAATTAGTGCCAACCTAGAATTTCATAATAAGATGCTTTAAAGAAAAGTTAAAGATATTTTCAGCTGAGTGTGGTGCTAAGGCATTTTGCCTAGTTATGCATGAAGCCCTGGGTTCTATCTCTAGCACAATAAAAAAAAAAAAAAAGAAAAAAGAAAAATTAGATAAAAGCAAAGAAAAACTTTTACCGACAGACTTGCACTAAAAGATCTAAGAATTCTTCAGCCTGGGATTTAGCTCACTGGTGCCACCGCCTGTCTCAAAAGTGCAAGGTCCTGAGTTCCATCCCCAGTACCAAAAAAGAAAAAGGAAAGAATTCTTCAAAAAAGAAAAAAATAATCCTAAATGTAAGCAAGGTAATGAAAGAATGAAGAGCAATGAAAAAGTAAAAGTAGAGGGTAAATCAAAATGTGTACTGACTGATTAAAGCATTACTTTAATAGCTTGTATATATATTGTATAATATTATATATTATATGAAATTAACATATATGGCAAAACCAGTACAAGATGATGGAAATAAACAGAACTAAAATCTACTGCTAATCTATTGTTTTTTGGGTTTTTTTGGTACTGGGGATCGAACTCGGGACCTTGTGCTTGCGAGGCAGGTGGCGGCACCACTGAGGCAAATCCCCACCCCATCTATTGCTAGTTTTAAAGTCTGCAAAGTTTTTTTACATTGTCCTAAAAGTAGTAAATTAAATAAACTGTAAAAAAAATAAACTGTAATAGGGCTGGGGATTTAGCTCAGTGGTTCCGGTGCCTGCCTTGAAAGCGGAGGATTTGATCCCCGGTACCAAAAAAACCACATAAACTGTAATAAATTCAGTACATGTTTTATAATTTCTAAAGCAGCCTTTACCAACCATAGTTTCACAAAAGAATAAAATAAGAAATTAATAAAAAATAAAAACAAACAGAAATAATGCTGGGTTATTACTCAGTGTTGAGCATGTGCTTACCATGCGCAGACCTGGGTTTAATCCCCAGCACAAAATAAATGAAAAAATTTTCAAAAATTGAATTGTCCTTCAAAAAACAAGCAAAAGTTATTTGAATGACTATTTTTATAATTCTTCTAAGGATGGAACAGTTAATTACACAGATTTATTTATTTATTTATTTTTTTGGTACTGGGGATCGAACTCGGGTTCCTGTGCTTCCACAGCAGGCGGCGAAACCACTGAGCTAAATCCCCAGCCCCATAGTAGATTTATTAACAGAGGCATTAATCCATAACATACAAGACAATAGATGCCTTAGAGCAGTGGGACTCACTTAATTCACTCACAGAACCACACCTGAGAAAGGTTGTGATAAGATAACCATTAAAATTACAATAAAAGAATGAACAGTGGGTTAGGTGGGTGCCTCATACCTGTAATCCCCCGACATTCTGGGAGGCAGAGGAATGAGGATGAAAAATTCCAGTCCAGCCTGGAGAATTTAGCAAGACTGTTTCAAAATAAAAAATTAAAAGTGCTGGGGGTGTAGCTCAGTGGGAAGGCTTGACCCTGGGTTCAATCCCCCTTACTGCAAACAAACAAAACCAAACAAACCCCAAACAACAACAATAAAAATCAGCATAGGGCCGGGGATTTAGCTCAGTGGTTTCACGGCCTGCTGCGCAAGCGCAAGGACCCGAGTTCAATCCCTGGTACCGGAAAAAAAAACCAAAACCACTATAAATCAACAAATAGGAAAAAAATTAGAAAAACAAGAAGCCTGATAATGTAAAATAAAGACACAAAGGGAGAAAATTAAAAGAAAATGAAGCAAGAAGCTGGTACATTTAAATTTAAACACAGCAATTATGTTATATATAAAGTGACTCCAATAAAAAGCAAAACAAAAACAAAACAACAAACTTTCAGCTAACATAGTTAATGGTTAAATATTACATGTTTTCCACAAGGGAACAAGGCAAAGACACTCTTAGCACTGCTATTCAACACTGTACCACTTGTTCTAATCCTAGCCAATGTAAGAAGAAATGAAAAATACTATATATGAAAGAAAAAGTTAAACTGTACACTGTACTTACTTAGAGGACACACACAACAAATTCCTAAGCTATCTCTAAAAAGCTATTAATACTTCCAATGAGTTTAATAAAGCAATATACAAAAGCTAATTTTATTTCTATATATAAGCAATGAACAATTAAAATAAAAAATTTAAAACGTTTTTTAAATTGCACCCTAAAATGAAATACTTACAAACTGAAAAAAATATGTACAAAATCAGTATAATGAGAATTACAAAAACTGCTGAGAGAAACTAAAGATCTAATAAATGGAAATATATACCACTATTTAGGGTTAGGAAGATGTAATTTGTCTCAACCTGATTTATAGGTTCAACACAACCCCAATCAAAGCCCCAATTAGGGTTTTTGTAGATATTAACACATTGATTCTAAATTTAAGCAGAAAGGTGCAGAAAAATCTAAACAATTTTGAAAAAGAAAAACTAAATTCTTGATTTCAAACTTTACACAGTAATCAAGGCAGTGTGGCACTGGCATAAGGACAGACATGTCCATTCATACAACAGTGGCCAGAAATACATGTTTTGTACAAAAAACATGTACAAATGATCTTCAACAAAATGCTAAGAAAATTCAATGGCCTCTTCTCAAGAAAAAGTGTTAGAACTGTATATCATAATGATACAAATGAATTGT